CGTAGGCGCACTGTAGAGTCGATTTCAGACCCCGAAACAAGTAAGGACCCCTCACCTTATTTTCTATCACGGTATTAAAGCTAAATAAATAATTAAACTGTACTGTGTGACTTTATAGATGTATAATTGATTAAGGTTGCCAATGGAGCCTGAGTTTGATACAGTGTTGGTCTGTTATTGTTTGATCTAATTTTCAATATTAAATGCAGCATGATGTTTGATGTAATTATGTTATAGTCTCGTATGCATGAATCATGGTTTCTTTTATTATGGTTTGTATTATGGTGAACCTGGTACTGTATGGTCTTATTTGGTGTCAATTACTAGTTTACATGTTTTGTATGATTGGATGATTGAGATTAAGGAAAAATGCAAAAAAGTTATGTGAATTGATAAGTGGATAATGTGGAAAGCCTGACTAGATATCTTGAGAGATGGTGGACAGACCGGGTCCGTAGGGAATCCTACCGGGAACGTGGTCTCTCATACCGGACGTGGTATGGATACCTTATGTATTTTGGCGCCCATACCGGACGGGGTATGGGGACGGCCCGTTTCACCCTCATACCGGACGAGGTATTGAGGTTCATGGTTTTGGCGCCCCTACCGGACGGGGTATGGGGACGGCCCTGGAATCAGGTTATAAATGTTAATGGTTCACGTGTAGAGGGGACCCCCTATGGATCCCTAGGGATACTAGTAGGTTGGTAAAAGATGAAATCTGTTTCCTGATGATTGAAATGTAAAGGTGTGATATATGTTATGTTATAAAATGTGTATGATTTCATGATATTATAAGGTTATTGTTTTCATATGTTGTTTTCATGGATCTCGCCGAGGTAAATGGACAGTAAAGGTTTTTATGTTAATAAACGAGTTCGTTATAAATTATGCTCCATTGGTCATTTTTGTTTTCTACCCACCTTTACTTCAGTGGCGGTGAGATAGTGTGATGTCTTTACTGTGCTGGTGTAGCTCATTCCTTATTTAACTATTTCAAATCAGGAAGACATTATTCCCGAGCCCGTTTCGCAGGAAGACGGCGAAGAGGACGCCTAAAGACTCCATAGCTATATTTATAGTTCTTATCTCGAGTATCTCTTTTAGTTAGTTTGTTCTTTCATGTTTTGAGTACGTTTTGGTTATTGTGTAAGGGATGTTAATCAAAATTTTTATTACGCTTCCGCATTTGACATTTTTAATACATATATTTCATTTAAATTTCCGGGGCTGTTACATCAAAAACATAGTCCATGAAATAGAGTCTCTTTAAAATTGGTTTTAAGACTTGTTTTTGAGTTTGCATTCATAGACAACAAAACTGGCCATGAGCTTGCTCAATGTGCTATTAATATTGG